CTCTCTCTCTCTCTCTCTTTCTACTCTCTCTCTCTTTCTCTCTTTCTTTCTCTCTCTCTCTCGCTCCCACTCTCCCTCCCTCTCTCTCTCTCTCTCTCTCTCTCTCTCTCTCTCTCTCTCTCTTTCTTTTTCTCTCTCTCTCTCTCTCTCTCTCTCTTTCCTCTCTCTCTCTCTCTCTCTCTCTCATCTCTCTTTCTCCCTCTCTCCTCTCTCTCTCTCTCTCTCTCTCTATCTTTGTCTCTCTCTCTCCCCCCCTCTCTCTCTCTCTCATTTTTTCTCTCTCCCCCTCTCTCTCTCTCTGTTTCCTACTCTGTCTCCCTCTCTGTCTCCCTCTCTCTCTTTCTCTCTCTCTCTCTCTCTTCTCTCTCTCTCTCATCTTCTCTCTCTCTCTCTCTCTCTCTCGCTGTCTCACACTCTCTCTCTCTCTCCCTCTCTCCCCCTCTTCCCTTCCTGTCTTCCTACTCTCTCTCTTGTCTCTCTCTCTCTCTCTCTCTCTCTCTCTCCCTCTCTCCATTCTCTCCTCTCTCTCTCTCTCTCCCTTTCTCTCGTCGATGTTTATCACTGCTGCTCGCCACTCGTCTGGTGATAATGCCGTCTCACGGGCCATTGCTCTGACTGCATGCACGGCGTGAGCCGCGTTAGGCTGCGAGAGCGAGAGAGACCATATTAGCGGCTAAGTGTTTTCGGGTGGATATATGTTTCCATGTTGCAAAGTATGGTCGTGACGTCAGTGCACGTCAGGTGTGACCGTTCAGTGGCTATCACCACCATAGACAATCACGCACGCACATCCATGTATGCATGGCACTATCCATAATACATTATTTCGCAATGACGGCTAAATAGCCGAGCTAGTACGCGGCGCCGTTACTTCTGAAGGTCGTTGGTTCGTACCATCTGTTTATTTTATTTATTTATTTTTTATTTTTTATATTTATCTTTATCCATTTAACTATTTTTTCCCAATTAACGCAAATATTTACATGATTTATTTACAATTTTTTATTACATTATTATTATTTTTAATTAAATTAAATTTAATTAGGGTTAGGGTTAGGAGTAGGACGTAGCACGCAACCCACCAGCACCATCAGCAGGCTGTATGCATTCAGGCCGAGTTCATTCAGCTAATATACGTCAGACCATCTTGCAACATGGATACATATGCCGACCGTGTTTTCGCATTGCAATTGGTTAGCGCCATCTAGTGCCGTGAATTCAATTTTCGTCAGGGGATCTTTTACGAGCGAATTTGCTTTGCCGAGAGAAAGAGAGAGAGAGAGAGAGGGAGGGAGGGAGGGAGGGAGAGAGAGTGGGAGCGAGAGAGAGAGAGAGAGAGAGAGAGAGAGAGAGAGAGAGAGCGTGAGAGATAATCGCATGATGAATATAATTGGCTTGATGAATCAATCAGCGGCAATCACTTACCCGGATCACTGATCTCCAGTCGCTCCGACAACCACTCTATCAGGTCGTAACCTGCCGAGAGAGAAATCAAACGCAGCGATTAACGCGCGGAGAAGAGAGCAGGCGAGACAGAGAGAAGAAGAGATAAAGACAGAGAGAAGGAGAGAGAGAGAGATAGAGAGAAGGAGAGGTTAAGACAGAGAGAAGGAGAGAGCGAAAGAGAGAGAACGAGATAGAGAGCGCGTGCAATACTGAGAGAAGGAAAGATAGAGACAGAGAGAAGGAGAAAGAGAGAGACAGAGAGAAGGAGAGATAGAGACAGAGAGAAGGAGAAAGAGAGAGACAGAGAGAAGGAGAGATTGAGACAGAGAGAATGAGCGATAGAGACAGAGGGCAGAAGAGATAGAGGCTGAGAGAAGGAGAAAGAGAGAGAGAGAGAGAGAGAGAGAGAGAGAGAGAGAGAGAGAGACAGAGACAGAGAGAAGCAGAGAGCGAGACAGAGAGAAGGAGGGGTAGAGACACAGAGAAGCAGCTGGCGAGACAGAGAGACGGAGATAGAGAGCTCGCTAAACTGAGAGAAGGAGCTAGAGAGAGACAGAGAGAAGGAGAGATAGACGTAGAGCGGTGAGAGAGAGACAGAGAGAAGCAGAGAGCGAGACAGAGAGACTGAGATAGAGAGCGCGCGCGAAACTGAGAGAAGGAGCTAGAGTGAGAGACAGAGAAGAGAGAGAGACAGCGAGAATGAGAGAGAGAGAGAGCGCACGAGAGCGAAACCGAGAGAAGGGAAGTAAAAAAATGAAAGATAAAAAGAAGAGAAGGATAGATCGAGAAGGAGAGAACGAGAGACCGTGAGAGAGAGAGAGCGTGAGAAGGAATGGGAGAGGTGGATTGATAAGAGGGAGGGAGAGGCAACAAGTACACAGGAGTTGGCGGTAGTTAGACCACATGCACCCAGTGTCCGGTTTGTGTGCGGCCAGTGTTAATAATTCACGTTTGCCCTTCTAATTGGACACAGCGGAAGCCCTCTGTACCGTCGCCTCCTGCAGATTGGGATGATGGATTCTGGCATTTGATTGTCATTTAATTCCATCGCGTCCCGGCTCCCTGCGGTGTCGCCCCACATAGATATAAATGATGGATGGTGGATGCTCAATTGTCATATTTAATTACGATGCTTCCCGTGACCCCCTCGCGTCGCCACTTTAGATTCACTTCATGAATTATGGATGTTCACTTGCTATGTGAAAGCGGCCATTTTTGTTCAAGCGGGTGAACTGGACAGGCTGTGAAGCCGCTGTGTGAAAAATAAGAACGTCAAAGTAACGTCATCGATGGGAAATACTAAAACAAATGCTAAGCTAGCTGCAACTACGATTCTTAAATTCACGTGAGAGCTCTTGGCTACTCAGATACAGCGGTTTCACGAGGGGAGTTTCAGATTCGGTCACCTAAGCAACAATAAAAACGATATAAGAATAACACCGGACCGCGCTAGCGAGAGGCTGTAGTGATAGTATGATTCTATATATAGTTTCCCTACTACTGCTACTGCTACTGCTATTGCTACTGCTATTGCTACTGACACCCTAAGGGCCCTTAATGCTAATAGTACAATCACGGAGATAATTTAGAAATCTAATCTAAATTCATACGCACTCTGGCAAGCGTGAATTACGAAAACTCCAGAGGGTAGAGTGCTCTATCATAGATCCTTCCACTATTCATCTAGCTCCTTCTCTTCCTCCCATTGCTCATACCACCTCCATTCTTCTTCGCCACCCTTCCCTGTCCTCCTACTCCACTTCTGCGCCCCTTCCTCATCCATCCTCGTCTTCCACAGTAATGTCATAATAATTATTAACGACCGTCATATGAGAAACCATTACACCTCATTTTCTTTCTCTTTCTGTTTTATCTCCCCCTCCTACTCTTCCTTCGGCTCCTTCCTTCCTCCCTTCCTTCTTCTTCTCCTCACTCTTTTACAGGAATGTGATCTAAATTTTTCGAGGCCTTTATATGACAGGTTATTAAACCTTCTCTCTGCTAGTCACACAGGTGAGCGAGCTAGTCTATGTATAAGCTGCGGGCGATCTGTTTTCATTCTCTTACGACACTTTAACCGCCAGACGAACATCCACATTCCGTTGCCATGGCAATACATCTTGCTGATAGTCGCAGCGGCGCAAAATGCTTAGGAAAAAAACATATCGTAGAGATTCCTATTTTACGCCTGACGCGTACGTGATTGAAATATCAATACACACTCCACACGTTGTCGTCACAGTGCCGTCGTCATCGTCATCGTTGTCAGCGCATTGTCGTCGTCATCGTCATCGTTATCACCGCAGTTCCGTCGTCATCGTCATCGTTGTCACCGCAGTGTCGCCGTTATCATACTCTCGTCGTCATCACACTGTCGTCATCGTAACCACCAGTCTGTCATCATCGTCATCACCGCACTGTCGTCATTATGACTATTGCACTCTCGTCATCGTCATCACCGCACTGTCGTCATTGTCACCACCGCACTGTCGTCATCATGACTACCGCACTGTCGTCATCGTCACTACTGCGCTGTCGTCATCGTCACCACCATTACCGCACTGTCGTCATCGTCACCACTGCGCTGTCGTCATCGTCAACAACACACTGTCGCCATCACCACCACCTCACTGTCTTTCATCGTCCCCATCCTACTGTCGTCACCGTCACTACCTCACTTTCATCGTCGTCAGAGCTCTATAATCAGTGCTGGTTCGGGTGTTGGTCGGTAGTGTCAGAACTTGCAGTGCCGCTACACGTATGTGATAATGAGATACACACGGGCATGAACGCACGCACACGCCCCCACACGCACGCGCCACCTCACGCACGCGCAACCTCACGCACGCACCCGCGCCGACACACAGACTCGTACTCACGCGAGCACACATTTGCACGCATGCACGTACGCACAGCACATACACGCACACACGCACCCGTACCGCCCATACACACGCGGAAGGGAAGGGGCAAGGCGGCGGCAGCCATGACACACTAGTGCATGCCCGGTAAGGTACCACGCTGGCAAATCAACCAATGAGCGCTGGGACAGGGTAAGGTTGAGATCGTATTTTAGTGTATGCGTGCGCTTGAATTTTGTATTTCTCATTAGAAAGGGTTAGAACTCTTTGCAATTGTTAATTTCAGAAACTAGAATCTTTTCTGAATCCGTCAGTGTAAACGGCTCGTCCGAGGTGCGTTGCTGGTGCGGCCGGAGAATTTTCAAAGAAAGCCTACTTTTTTGTGCAAATTCACATTGCAAATTGGCCATTTCGAGTGTGTGTTGGAAAAATGTTGTTTACAAGAAAAATTATGGAAGAATTTTTTTGTTAATAACATATATGGTGTCACTTGCAACTTCTGCTGATTTATGGGAATTTTTTCGTAAGTATGGCCGCCTATGGAAAATGATTCCCATGGTGGTACCTTAACATGCGCGCGTGCGGCTGATTCAACGTACACACACACACACACACACACACACACACACACACACACACACACACACACACACACACACACGTGTA